GCCAAGGCTGGGTCCACTGGGGATGAGGGCTTTCACCCTCCCCATAGCCTGGCGCAGAGTCCGGTGGCATGGTTCTAGGAGCCTCATTCTATACTCCCGTCTGGGAGGAACATTCATGAGTTCTGGAGGGTGGCCGATAAGATTAAAATAATACCTCCACATAATAAGAATTTTCTGAATGACAGAATGACTTTCTGGGCATATATGGGACTGAGGCAAGTGTGTTTTTTTCCCTCCAGTTATTTTATTAAAGCAGCATGATTTATAATAACTTTGTCGACTTCACTCCTTCAATGTTCTCAGGCTCCTGCCTCTACTCCCCACCCACAAGCAAGCCTCTTTACGTTCAGTCATTAAAGTGTGAGTCTCATGATTTCAATGTGGTTAATGCCATGGTTTGGATATTTAGTTTGATTAGGTTCCTGACACCACTGATGTACCTGAAACTCCTTGTCACTTGACCCATTCCACTGCTTTCATCTGTTTCTTCTCTCCTCCTTGACCCCATAGTGTAGGGAGGAGAAAGAAAGAAAGAATATGGCAAGTTTTTTTTTTTGAGTAAAACATTTTATTTATTTATTTATTATTTTTATTAGTGAAACGCCATTAGGTACAGTTATAGACTTACAAATTATTGAGTTTGGGTTTCAGTTATACAATGATCAAATACCATCCCTCCGCCAGCGCCCATTCTCCACCACCGCGGGTCCCAGCATCCCTCCCACCCCCCATTCACCCATCCCACCCCACTACACTTTTTTTTAAAAAAAGGATAAAAATTAAAATAAAAAATAAAATCCACCGGTGTTTTAAGTTGAAATAATTGACTTAGTTTTTTGAGTGCAGCCAAATATATAGTCTGTGAAAAATCTCTGAAGTCAACTGAACTGTAGTTCTTATTGTCTAGTTGGACACACATATGCAGGCAGGGTATATGCACTGTGTGAGACTTGGATGAGATTGTTGTAAATTTCAGTAATCCTATTTATACTTTTCACATTTTTATTCTGTGCACAAGGAAAGCTGTGTTAAATGTTTTGAGTTATTTACCATAAAGTTTATAGCACTTTTGAGTTTGCCTAAGAAATTTTGATCCAAGGGAGGTATTGTCGCTGAGTCAATGTCTGAAACTTTTTGGTATAACCACCAACTGGAATGTAGAAAATTTCATTTTACGTTTGGCAGCAATGATACCAGTTTAATTAAACTCATTTAGATTCCACATCTGTTATTATGAGCTACATAAGAAAAAGCATTGGTGTAGTTTAAATTACGGCTTTCATAGTTTTAAAACAAAAATGTGTATTGCAAATGTTCTAGTTTAGAAATGCCTGTTAGAAAGTATATAGAAATGTATGCTTAAGTGACAAAATATTATTTAGTTTGGAAAATCTCTATGAAGAAACATTTATTTATTTATTTATTTTTCTCTTTGGGTCACACCTGGCAATGCACAGGGGTTACTCTTGGCTCTGCACTCAGGAGTTACTCCTGGCGGTGCTCAGGAGACCATATAGGGTGCTGGGAATTGAACCCGGGTCGGCCGCATGCAAGGCAAACGCCCTACCTGCTGTGCTATCTCTCCAGCCCTCTATGAAGAAACATTTACTAGTTAAAAATTTCTACTATTTTGATTTTTTAAATAGTAGGTGATAGGTATGTGGATTTAAGTTCATTTATCATGATGTTAATATCTATTAATATGATCTTGGTTTTAAGACAATATTGATTCAATATTTTGAATTCAATGGCAGGATTTTTTGTTTTGTTTTGTTTTGGAGTCAAACCCAGCAGTGCTCAGGGCTCACTACTGGCTCTGTACTCAGGCATCACTACTAGCTGGCTTGGGGATCTTATGGATATTAGGGATCAAACCCAAGACTGCTGCATGCAACGCAAATGCTCTACCCACTATTGCTAAAGCCTTTAATGCAAGTTTTTAATATATCACTTAGTGACTTTTACTACGGTGTGAACTTTGAGAACTGGTAGTAAATGCAAAACAGTATCTGCTCTGATATTTCAAATTCACAATCATAAATTAGATCTCACAGGTATAGTTTTCTTATTTTATAAGTGGAATATTAGATTTTTTCATTTTTGTTTACTTTTGCATAGCCTAGGATCAAATCCCAGTCAAGTCCTAGCACCGAGTAATGTCACTGGTTCCTAGGTTTTTTTAAGTCCAAAAGCAAACAATTTGACTAATAAATCACACTAACTACTGAAAGTTAATAGGCAGAGTGAAAAGGAGAAATAAATTTGTAAATGATAAAAGTGCTAAATATTGCAATATCACTTTCATATCTCCAGAATAGTTCCTCTTTCTCTCTGCTTATACTTCTGAATGAAACTTGAGAAAGGTTATACAATAGTTACAAATTTGGAGATTGATAATTCTTCTTGTACAACCTTCCATATTACCTCCATTTTGTTCTGTTTTTGAGAACAGAGTGCACTAAAACAAACCAAAGTTAGCTTGAAAAAGACATTCTAATACAAATAATCCTATAAAATTGGAAGTTCCTTATGCCTAGAGAGTGCAATCTATTACAACCTTGGCATAAAGCTCCTTTTCATCTGTTTGTGAATTAATTTCAGCATTTCTTTTCTGTTAGTGCATGCAAGGAATTTTGAACTTTCTTTTGAATAATTGTGACATTATCATGATTCTTATTAACTGAGTCAAAAGCTCTGAAATTTGTTCACCTTGTGCTTATTTAAGTCATATTAATGCTGTCCCTGTTCTCTGCCATTAAAAAATACACAATAAAATTTAATGTTGTAAAATAGAGGAAGGAATCCTTGTACATTTTCATGTTTCTGGGATTTTTTTCTCTTTGTTATAAAAATATTAAGAGAACTTTTATACACTGCAGTTGATTTGGATTTTAACGTTGCAGAGATTTTTCTAAAATCCCAGTGACTTCACCAGCAAACTCCTGGTGCAACAAACTTGCCCAAGAGCTATCTCTATGAATAGGCTAAGCCATACAAACCTGGCAATGCTCTGGAAGCCGCATAGTACAGGAATTCTGAGTTCGGAGCATGCATTTGAGCTATATCCCCAACTTCTTACCATGGAGTTTTAAGGCACAAAATTTAAATGGTTGGAGAACCCCCAACACCCATAGCCAGGAGTAAGCCCTGAGCACCAACAGTAGAATCAAAACATACAATAAATAAAGATTTTGTGATGTTAATCCCAACTTAATTGTTATTTTTTACATGTAATCCAAACTGTAATAATATTTTTAAACGAGTTTACCAAAGGGATGGAAAGAACCCAAGACGTGACTGGTGAAAGGACACTGACACTATTTGTGGATATGAAGTTGGGAGATTGTATTCCTGAAACTCAAATAGTATTGTAAATCATGATGCCTAAATAAAAATTGGAAAGAAAAAATTATTTTTTAAAAAAAATTCCATTGATCTAAACATAAATCTTAGTATTATTTTATAACTAAAGATGTATTAAATTTTTCTAATTCTTTTGAATGACTTTTTTTTCTTTTCAGTGAAATAACATCTGTCATGTATTTTGCTGTATGAACTCTCATTAGGTGTTTTATTTTCAGGGGAGAGTCCTGGCTCTGTTGAGGGCTATCTCCTGGCAGAGGTTGAGGGGTGTGGGGGGGAAGCATGAAGTTATGGGAATGGAAACCAGGCCTCCTGCTTGCACAGCATATGTTTCACCCACTGATTCATCTTTCTGTCCCCTATACAGTTACAAAGCTCTCATATTTGAGTTTCAGTCATACAATGATCGAACATCCATCTCTCCACCAGTGCACATTTTCCACCAACAATGTCCCCAGTATCTCTCTCCTCTCTTTGTAACTGTCCCCCTGCCTCTATGGAAGACAATTTTCCTCATACTCTCTCTCTACTTTTGGGCATTATGGTTTGCAATATAGATACTTAGAGGCTGTCATATTTGGTCCTTTACCTAGTTTCAGCACACATCTCCCATCCAGAATGATTCCTCCAACAATCATTGACTTAGTGATCCCCTTCTCTATTCCAGCTGCCTTCTCCCCTAGCTCATGAGTCAGGCTTCCAACCATGGAACAATCTCCTGGCCCTTCCATCTATAGTCTTTGGATGTCAATCTCATATTATTTTATTTTATATTACATAAATGAGTCTAGTCATTCTGTGTTTGTCTTTCTCTTTCTGACTCATTTCACTTAGCATGATACTCTCCATGAGCATCCAGTTATAAGTAAATTTCATGATTTCATCTTTCCTAATGGCTGCGTAGTATTCTATTGTGTAGATATACCAAAGTTTCTTTAACAAGTCATCTGTTCTTAGGCACTTGGGTTGTTTTCAGATTCTGGTTATTGCGAAAGGTGCTGCAATGAACATACAGGTGCAGATGTCATTTCTACTGTGCTTTTTTGCACCCTCATTCTGATTATTATTTTTTAAGAATCAACTTCATTAGCACTCTAATAAACATGAGTTAACTCATTACTTTTGTATACAAATTGCTGAAAAGAGATAATAAGGAGGCAAACCAAAATCATTTTAATTGGTCAGATTATTTTGGGTATGCTTTACAGACAAAAGTAATGTTTTTTTAAAAATTCTGTATATTTAATTATATAAAACATCTGTAAGTATTTTGCATGTAGACATATTTATTTATTTTTATTGAATGACCATGAGATAGAGCATTACAAAATTGTTCATGATTATGTTTCAGTCAATTATTTCAACACCAATCCTTCCACCAGTGTAACTTCTCAGCCCCAGTGTCCCCAGTTTCCCTCCCAACCCTTCAAGCCATCCACCACCCCAGGCTGCCTCTATGTCAGGCACCTCTCTCCCTCTTAAAAGAAATGTTTTTTTCCTGTAAGCAAATTAAAATTAGGATATGTTCCCATTTTAAATGTAGTGATCAAAAAACAGTTACCACTGATGCTAACATATATTAGATTAAATTAGAACAGACATTAAACACCATTAGTTCCTAAAATAACTTTAGAAAATAACACTGGGCAGATGACATTTTTTAATTGAAAGTTGATTTTCACAAACACTTTCAGAAAAATAACACATCTACATTTTAAAGTTAGAAATTCAAAACTTAGTTTTCAGATAATAAAGAATTTGCTTTCAAAAGTATTTATTTTATTTTTCTTCAGAAGTAAGATACAAACAAGATTTAATTAGTACTTCAGCTTCAGAGAAGTATAATATTTAAAAATAGTATTCCTAAAATATAGGTACAAAATTAACACTGATTAATCATGCACTGTCTAGACCCAAAGACAGGGCAAATTATGAATCCTGGCCATGAAAAGAAACTGATTAAAGCACAATAAAACATATGTAAAAAGTGCAATATAATTATCATATCATACTAGTCGTAGGACATTGTCTACTGTCAGTTACAGTTGAGACTTGACAGTCTGTGAACTGTGTCAGCAGAGGATTTGAACCTGTGTCTTTGAATAATAAATAGCTAAAAAGTGAGTTTATTTAAAGGGATTTTTTGTATAACTTATACAATAAAAAGTCCAGAACAGCCTGCGTTCCTTTTTGATTTTTGCTACAAAATCCATAAATTTGAAACCAACTTAATAAAATTTATATAATTTATAAATTATCCATGTATTTACCAGGCCATGAAGTATGCTAATTCATATAATTTATATAAATTTCATAGATAATATCAGATGACTCCTAAACTCATCGTCCTTTGACAACTTAGGAAATAAAATATGATGACTAAAACACAAGACTAATGAATTCTAAGCAGAAATGACACATTCTAAAAGCACATACACATAATGTCTTTTACTTCCCAAATTTACTTCTACTAATTAAGGATGTTTTTGTTTTGCAGAAATTTAAATGGAAAAATAAACAATAAAACTAAAAATTCCATTTTATGTCATGATATTATATTAGTAAGAGTTTTTCCATTTTGATGTAATTATTTTATTAATGTTCTGAGACCATCAATTATAGATTCATATTTCATTGATTTTTATGATCACATATTTTAGATTTATTAAAATATAAATGTACTGTGTATAACCTATAAGACATTCCTCCAGTATTTCTTAAAGAATATCCCAGCACATTTCCAAAGTCATATATTTTACTATGGTAAAAGTCAGTGTAGTAGTATTTATAATAGGATTAAAAAAATTTTTAGAGGACTTCTGTCATTAATTAGAGTAGGAGTCATATGATTTCCAGATTTGAATGTAAATTCATCGTCAAAATAGAAAAATATGTCTACCTTACCTTTACTTAGGTATCAATTACCAAAACTAACATATTTGATGAACAATGGCCTTGAGTTTTTTAAAATAAATATTGTATATCATAATATTTCTGTTCTTCTAGGTCTTGAACTTCTGATTTTGGCGTCTGGTTGTCTTTAAAATAGTTATAAAATATAGAATTCCAGACTCTATTTTGTTATAAAAGCAGCCCAGACACAGTATCAGATATTAGTATGCATATACTGTTACCTTATGTACTTGTTCCTGTTTTTTGTTTAAAAAAAAAACAAATAAATTGCGTGTTTTTGATCTGAGACTATATAATAGAATAGCAGAATATTTACAAGCTCATTTTTCACAATTTTTACAACTTCCCAAAAAATAAGAAATCCTTCATTGATCTCCTTCATGTAAAATAGTTGCTTATTTGTCTACACAGTAGAAATGGAAGGACAAAGTTTCTATTTATAGATGCAGGAAAACTGATTCCTCCCATTTGTGTAGCAAGATGGGAAAGTAGCTGACATGGCATTTTGTAGTATCAACTAAGATTTCTCCCTAAAACCAGTAAAATAGTATTGCAGATCATAGAAACTATTCAAAGTTCTCAAAAACAGACAAGGCATCAGATATAAATGAAGTTTCAATAAATGAGGATCTACTAACAATGCTCATGGGTTCTTTTTCTGGGAAGAAGAATACAAGCCAACAAGAAGAATTAACTCTTATCTGGTCCATTTTAAAAGGTAAAAAAATATGTGGGGGCTAGAATACTTTCTGGACAGAAATGAAAATCATCTTCACCAATGAATAAAGGTTTTAAAAACAGACAAATTAAGAGCTGGTTTTTACTGTAAGTTAGTAGGCTACTGTCAGATCTATTAAGGCAAAGAAAAAAGAATTTTGCCTTATGCCATATGAACTTCTGCAGTTTTATGCATTCGTGAAATGATGCAGTGCTGTATTGGAGCTGGCTCGTACTAGCCTATTTAAGCTGGTTGTGTTCATCTTTTCCCAATTCCACATTCAATGATACCAAGCTGGAGGCTTAGGATCAGTCAGTGCATTTCCTTACGTTTTAGAAAATGACAAAATTATGAATGACATGCCTTCCACCCATGAAGCTGTTGTTAAATGTCTATCAATACACTAATGAATTCATAGAAAGGTTACTTTGTATTATTCGAGAAACTTATCTAATACTGAAGGCTTCTTATAGTAAAGTCCTTGAGTTAGAAGTGTCACAAGATACTCCCCTTTATCATTCATATATATTTTCTGGTTTTAAAACAACATTTTCAATATCATGTATGCTTTTTCCATTTAAGTGTTCACTAGGATAGTCATAACTATGACCTGTACCATCACTGATTGTTGACACGGTATAAGATGCACTGCGGAGTGCATCTGAATGGGAAAAGCTGTTTCCAAATTGGATTTTATATTGATTCCAGTTTCTTCTGAGAATTGCCTGAACCTACAAATCAAAAAAACAGTACAAAAGTAATCCATTAATTGAAGTGAAGTTATTGTATTTAACACACAATAAAATGAGTTATGTATAAAAGATTTTTGGAAAATACTGAGTCAAAAGTATTGTTTAATTTTTAATTAAAATATTGTTTGAATAAGCCTTTATTAGGAAAGTGATCATGTTACTCAGTAAAATTTTTAATTTCACGGATGATTTTCTATGCCATTTCTTAAAACTTAAGAAATGCATATGACTATCTTGTTATCAAACTGTTAATCCACCTCCAAGTTTTCATGGACTACACTGGTATCAAACTAAGAGCCTTGTTAGTAAGAATGCGTGAAAGAACGAGAAGAGACAAAATTAACAATAGAGTGATTCAAAGACTATAAATGATCATTTATAGTAGCAGGATACAGCTTTCCATTAAGTGATTATTTTTCTAAATTTTATCTGAGGCTCTGTGATTCACAATACTGTTCCCATAGGCTATGGATCATACATTGTTTCAACACCACACCCTCAACCAGAGCCTCTTCTTCCCATCACTATGGATAGAGGGAAATATTTCATGGATATTTATAGATTGTATGAACACTATGAAAAGTCCAGGAATATCAGCACTCCAACTTTTTTGCAGTTGGATCCCTTTCAATAAAAAATAATTTGACTTTTATTTCCCTCTCTTTTCTGTTAAAAGAGACTTGATTCCATGGATATTTCCAGAAGTCTGATCAGGGCACACTGGCATGAGGCAGTCTGCTTCTAGGCTTCATTTCCCAATAACATTACCTGTTTTCCAAAGCTTGTTTATAATATGACATTACAATTTTACATGCCCATAAGTACTAAGAAACCACTGGAGCGAAAGCACAGCAGTAGGGCATTTGCCTTGCACGCAGCCAACATGGCCGACCCGAGTTCGATTCCTCCGCCCCTCTCGGAGAGCCCAGCAAGCTACCGAGAGTATCTCGCCCTCACGGCAGAGCCTGGCAAGCTCCCCGTGATGTATTCGATATGCCAGACACAGTAACAACAAAGTCTCCAATGGAGACGTTACTCTGCCCGCTCGAGCAAAGAAACCACATTTTAGTTAAATCAATTGAGATATTTAATATAACTTACTATTGAACTTCTACCTAATTATCATTGCAAAACGTGGGTTCAGCTTTTTTGCAATACATCTTTTTATTCACTCTATTAAACAGCTACTCAGTGATTAAATATACCCATGTGACTAGGGAGGGCCCTTCTGATGACTGAGGTTCATAGTTAATGTTAATGGTGCACATTTTTGTCTAAGGAGATATGAAATGAGATTTAAAAAACTGGTGTGATCTTTTGTTAAAACACAGTTAATCAGTGAGAAATGCAAATAGGAATGTTTTGACTAAAAATTAAAATAAGATGTGATAAAAAAACAGATACTATTCTAATGGCTAGTTACTCGATCTAATGGAAAGGCAAGTAGGAAAGAGTCTGAACTTCAGGACATGACATAGTTGGAACTGGAAAAGTGAATTTGGCAGCTTGAATCTTTATGTAATGAGAGTGGGAAAAAATAAGTGGCAAAAAAACAAAAGAGGCGGGATCATAGTATTTTTCAAGATGAGAAATGAATCATAAGTAAACAGGCCTTGTATCTCAAGAGATAAGAAAAGGGAACAGATATTGGAAATGCTATAGAGACTGGTACGGTTTGGCAATAAATTGGCTAAAAAATTTTTGTATTATTGAAATTTTGCAATGCCAAAATTTTCTCAGTTTGGGGATATGCCAGAAGATCAAAGTCGGTCTCTTTTGCTTACACAAATAGAGTGCAACAAGAGGGTTATATAATAGTTTAGATAATCCTTGGTCAATCTTTCTCAATATAAAGGTCAATGAGGTTGGGTTTTAATATGATTAAAGTTCACAATTGTACATTTTTTTTAAATGATTTGACAAACCAAAGATTTAAAATTGAGTATTGAGTGCGGAATAGGAGAATCTTTTAAAAACATGTTTTATCTCTTGCTTACATTAATCCATGTATGTCTTATATAAAGAACATGCTTTTATTTAATTTCCTTAATAGTGGTCTGGAGTGATAGCACAGTGGGTAGGGCGTTAGCCTTTCACATGACTGACTCGGGTTCGATTCCTCCGCCCCTCTTGGAGAGCCCGGCAAGCTACCAAGAGTATCTCGCCCTCACAGCAGAGCCTGGAAAGTGCCCCATGGCATATTCGTATGCCAAAAACAGTAACAACAAGTCCCACAATGGAGACGTCACTGGTGCCCGCTCGAGCAAATCAATGAACAATGGGAGGACAGTGCTACAGTGCACACTAAATCACTAAGTTTTGGGGAGGTCCAGAGTATTCCCCAAGAATGTTTCAGTCCAGAATTAAGTGTTATCTTTAGAATTTAAAGGCATACTGTGCCTTTATTCAATAGTTTTTTATCACAAAAATTTTGCTAGTGATTGTGTTTTGTACATTCATAAGTTTTCCTTTATAATGTTTCTGCAGATTCAGAGAGATTCAGAGATGTATCTTTCCTATTTTGTGCTTGTTCTTAATCATTGTATCTGTAATTGCAGTTATATTTAATTATAAAATCTCACAATTGATTTGAGATTGTCTGATTCAGTTTTTTACAATAAATTTATGATAGCATATTGTCTGATTCAGTTTTTTATAATAATTTATAATAGCATATTATAATTGTATTTGATTATCAGAATGAATATTTTACTCTTTCTAACTAGATTCTCTGACTTCAGAAAAATAGTTGCCCTGTCCTCTGTATGGCAAAAAATTATGAAGGTGTCATTTCAGTGTACCTATAAATGCCATATAAATATCTGGCTTGTCTAACACAAAGTACTCTACCATTACATCTAAGCTCCTATCCTATAATGTATTCTGTGGCAGTTCTATGTACCAATTTAATATATGTGTATATTTGTTTGTTTATATTGCTTGTTTGTTTGCTTTTGGGCCTTACCAATCTGTGTCAGGAGACCATATGTGGTGCCATGCATGGAACCTGGACAGGTTGTGTGAAATGTAAGTGTCTCACATACTGTACTATCTCCCTGCTCCAAGTACCCATATTTTAAATTAAAGCATATTTTAACATAAAATTAGCATGAGGACTGGAAATGTGGTTTACTGGTAAAGCACGAGCCTTGCATGTAGTAGACCTCGGTTTGATCCCCAGCATAATAAAAAAATATATAAAGGTGTCATAAAATAATATTATATGTGAGAGAGAAATAAAATGATAATAGAAAATAGCATTTTTGTTTATTCAAAGCATAGCTGCTAATGTTGAATGGTTTTATAGGAATGTTCTTATTCACTTATGCCAGTTGATTCCATCTGTTTTTCCCTGATGTTTTGTGTTAAGCTTCTCAATTACTGTAAGTCTCAGAGATAACTGACTTGCTGTTAGGATTTGCAAACGTTTCTGAATCTTTTCAAAATCTTCTGACAGGTTGAAATTTGTAAAATAGATTAAAAAAGAAAAAGTGAAATTGGTGTAGTTCATATCATGGAGATGTAGCATGGTTTATATGCATAATAAAGGATGTTTCTAAAATACTTGAAACTTTCCAATTAGGAAAGCCTTGGATAAAAATCTTTAAAGACAAAGACTGCTATATCTTGGAATTAAACAATTTGTTTTTCTGAATTCTTAACTTAATAAATATCCTCCTTTTATAATGGAGAATTCACTTTTGAAAAAATTGTCTTGTATCCTCCATTGCTTCCAAACATTGCATTAGGTCAAACGAAAGCAAACAGAATAAAGGAAAGAAATTTAGATGTCCCTTTTCTACTCTTTATTAGTGTGCTAGCTCTATTAGGTTATGGTTTGTCTAATACTATACCTTGGACAAAAATCCAGATATAGATAATTCAAAATTAATATAAAAATGCTCAGTGAATATGCCACTAATGTAATATTTTTAAGCCAGATTGAATTGCCTTTCAATATGACCTAAGCTCTTGCAAAGAATTTCATTAAAAAAGAGATCCTATGATTCTTTTTCCTAATATAGATAAAATTTGAAATGGTTACTCCTGGGGAATTTCATCTCACTAGAAAAACCATATTGCACATATAAAATAGGAAAAAAGAATAAAGTCAATCACCATACCTCTCCATTAAAGAAGCAGAAAATTGTAGAGACCAAAAGACCCTGTAAATGAAAAACAGAATGTCTCATTTCAAATGAAAAGTATACAATATTTACCACCATCTGCTGTACTCAGAGTGAAAAACAAAACCACAGCCATGTAGGTATACTTAATACTAAATCTAGCAAGTTGCCTCAGTGATGCAGACACACCTACCTGATAATGCATTAGGATGTGCATGACGTAATCATACACCTCTTCTGCAATCCTTCCCTCTGGGCGCCAGGGAATCAGCACAAACTCTATGCCCAGTAACGGCACGAGGATAAGTGTAGCTCTTACAGCTTTCATATAGAGATTGGATTCGGCTTGGTGGGTACCTTTTAACTTGGTAATGAGAACGCGAACGATATTTAATAGGAAAAAAAGATTCACCTGTAAGAAAAAAATTCCAAATGAACATCATTTTGTATTTAATATTAAGGAGGATTTAAAGGACCCTTGATTTTTGAAAGAATTTTTACTTTTCCTTTTTTTTATTGAATCGCCATGAGATACACAGTTACAAAGCTGTTCATGGTTGGGTTTCAGTCATACAATGTTCCAACACCCATCCCTCCACCAGTGTGCATTTCCTGCCACCAATGTCTCCAATTTCTTTCCTCCCACCAGAACCCCCACATCCCCCAGACCTGCAATACAGGTACTGAGAGGTTATCATGTTTGGTCCTTTACCTACTTTCAGCATGCAGTTCTTTATCCAGAGCGATTATTTCCAACTATCATTAAGGGCCCTTGACTTTATGAATTCTTGTATATATTATTCCAGTGTACAAGAATATTCTCTTTCCTTTTTGTTTGTTTTTCACTCTGACTTCTAACATGTGCTTTGTTTGACAATCTAAAATAAAGCTACGTGCTAATATAGAATTTAAATTTGCACAATTTATAAAATACTAAAATTGGGTTGCAGATGAGAGTCACTTGTAATATGTATGCCTTCCTTGCATACCGAAACTTGAGCACTGGCGCAGAAAAAATGTCTCAAACAAATGTGTTTATTTAATATAGAATAAATGTGATAAATTAAATACAGTACCATTTAAAAATAATGTGTTCACTTAATATAGAAAACAGTAAATAACACCAATTTGCTAATTTAAGTCATGTGTTATCAAAAAATCTGAGTACAAAATTATTACACTACTATTCTTAGATAACTCAATGGAACATATGCTTCAAAATATACAGAGGCTACAAATCTGCTGGAAGCAAATCTATGAAAAGCAACATATTTACAGACATAGGAATGTGTCTGCTAAAGACAAAAGTAGAATAAGCCTCTGCAACAGGTGTAAGAATGAAATGTGACAAATCAACATATCAGCTGTTAGTACACCCTTATTATATTTCTTACTTTAGCATTCATTGTTATAAATTTTGACTAAATGAAAATTACAAAGCCTATAAGATGCTTCAGCAGCACATATACTACATAAAAGGAAAATATAATACACTTTTATATGTTCATAATTTAATAATTCTAATATGCCACAACATGAATTTTATTTTTAAAACAGAAATGAAGCAATCTGAACCTCGTTATATGAACATATCTAAATCCAAAGTGCTTCTCCAAAATGACAAATTATAAAATTAGAAACTCTGGTTCAAATTATAAAATTAGAAACTCATCCTCTATGTTTTGCAAATACTTCTATTTATTTTAAAAGAAAATAGAGAAAGAATTTTAAATTCCATATGAACTATATCTTAGTTTCATCTCTCTTGGGGTAAAACTGGTTGAGAAGGGAAGCAATTTGTTCTGACTCCAATGCTCAGAAAGTTCAGATAAATCCTACGCAGGAAAAAACATTTCATATGTCTTTAAAGCATTTAAAAAAATTTAAAGCATTTTTAAAAATTTTTAAATGCTTACAGGATAAATTTCACTAATTTTTATGGTACTTCTAGAAGTTGTATCTTAGTTATGACACTATATTGACTTAATGACCACTATATGACCAATATTGACTTAATAATTCTATTGGAGAGAGATTGTAAAATTATTCTAACATAACTCACTGGAACTTAGAGAATAGAATAAAATACATTTAATTCAAAATTTTTCAAAAAAATCTAAAAAAAGACTTAGGAAGTCTCAAATTTTGGTTACAAAACATATGACTCCTCCCTTTCCATATTTAATTCAATAGTAGCCATAATTGCAGAATGAGAGAACACAATTGCGTTCAGGTCTCTAATATTCTACTAGACAAAGAACGTTAACTTGAATAGATTATTTCTTTGTATCTGAATAATAATTCCTAAGTGTGGCTTCTGTTTCCCATGCAAACTTTCTTAAAGATGTCTAATTCATATTCTTCTGTTTAGTAATAATTGTTATAATAGTAAACAATATTTAAGTACCAATTTTCCAATTTAAAAGTCTTTTTTTTTTATTGGAATATTTCTTTACTACCAACATAGGTGTGTAGGTTTTCTTATTTGTCAATCCCATTTAGTAAATTCATTCTTTGACCATGTCTCGTCTGCTCTCTGACATCATATGATTTATTTCCAAGGACTACATCATCACCTAAACTTCCTTATCCTTTGAGTTTGTCAATGGGAGGAAGTAAGAAATCAGAGCAGGGGAAGAGAGAGGCTGAAAAATTCCTTAATCCTCTTTCTTGTTTTCAGACAGACTGTGGTTTTCATCAGAAACTGTGTTCTTCTTAAGGCCAGATCTCTTGTTGGTGAGACCCCTCCTAATGCTTACCCAAACTCAACAATACTGTTTTGTGCACTCATTTGGTCTAGCCGTGATTATAGTTTCCCACTACTAGTTCCTGGGGACTCTTATAAATTGATTTCTCTGTCAATATCTCAAGAGTAGTAATTTCATTAATGCTTTCTGAACAAATATCATGAGTCAATGTCTACTGGAATCATGAAAGATACCAAAAATCAGATAATTCAGTAGCACTGCACTGTAACACTGTCCTTCCATTGTTTATTGATTTGCTCAAGCGAGCCCAGTAATGTCTCCATCGTGAGACTTGTTACTGTGTTTGGCATATCAAATACATCACGGGGAGCTTGCCAGGCTTTGCCATGCAGGCGAGTTACTCTTGTTAACTTGCCGGGCTCTCCAAGAGGGCCGGGCCGGCTGTGCGCAAGGCAAATGCCCTACCACTGTGCTATCATTCCATCCAGATAATTCAGTAAATAATTGAAATTTAAAAAATAATTGTAATCACATACCAATAAAGCAGCACAAATTGGACCATGAATAATGTACAGAAGATGTGTGTCAGAACTGATCCAGCAGCTGGGGGAAAGAAACAAGGACATGATAGTAAGTGTATTTGTTTTGCATAGTTCCAATAGAAATAAAAAAGTAAGGTTATCTTACTTGTCATTATAATATAAACTTCTTGCAACAGCATGTATACAAGCAGGAATCAGTGGAAATCCTATAGATAACAAAGAAAAAGAAAATAAATGGCAACTTACTCAATAGATGTAAACTTTAAAATATCTCATAAGACATGAAATTTATAGGTACTATGAAAACATTTATTGAATAAATATTATCTATTTATAGATATGGTATTATATATTTATAGATATTATATAGATATGATATTATATATTTATAGATATGGTCACAACATTTATTGAATAAATACTATCTATCTATATAATCAAGTAATTACTCTTGACTATTAGGCATTTGTATTTTCAAATGTGCATGGTCCTTTTTATTTCTGTCATATAAATCATTTAAAATCAATGATTCTGAATTCAAGGCCATAAAAGTGACGTGAATATATTTTATGTGAAATAAAACTGGTCGTTATTTGGTAGATAATGAGATGTGAGGAAAAGCTGAGACCATTACGAAAAATAAAGGGTTTTATATGGATCCAAAACTTTGCATGCTCGAAGATTTCAAAGATAAAATAAATATTTTCAATATATAAACTTAAATCATAAGATTATATGTGTGTGTTTACATATTTTTATCACTATTGTCTTACCGGGTTGTTAAAGAAATAGAGATAGATAGATTTATAGAAATAAAAAAGCATAATCTAAGTTATTTTTGGAAATTAATCCTATTTAACTCATTTAAAGTATTTTATAATTCTATTATCCTGCATATTTTTGAATATGCCAGAAGTATGTTATTAGTTACTTTCTGAATAATACAATAAATAATATTAGGAGGTGAGGAAAAAACAGAACCTTTTTAATGCCTTAATCCATTTACTTATCCTTTCACTCTTATAAGACAGAGTAAACTTTTAAAAAACATTTTTAAAATGAAACTTCAAAGCTGTTTAAAATGAATTATATTTTTTTCAAGAGGAAAAGGATATTCCTATTAGTGCAAAGATCAGATTCCCAGTTCGTGATTATAACTCTATTGTTTTTGTCATTATATTTTCAGCCAAGATATACACTGGAATACTAAACAGAAAAAATATTGCAATATTAATTGTTCTGTGACTACTGAAAATAATGAGGCAGTGGTATTTTGTTTAAATATTCCAATTTATCACAATAAGAAAAGAATAATCATCTGATATTGTTTAAATGATTAATAACAAGCATATTTTCTATTACAAAGGAAGTCTGTTTTCTTTAAAATCTTCTTATTAAGATTAATCACCAGATGTCTGTAATAACACTTACCCCAACCAAGAAAATAATACCACATCAAGTGCTGTTTCTCTGCAAACACAGCCACCACAATGAGTGTGTGCAGATAAATGCCTTCACAAAGCATCCAAAAATAGTTACAGCCCATCAGGTAAAGATGAATGAACTGTGATATTTTACAACTAACCTGTGATGAAAAGAAATGACAATCATAATCATTGGCCTATAAATCCACATGTGAAGCAACAGCTTAACAATTAAACTATTAAATATTGTAATCTAATAGAAAAACATGTATATTCTCTCTACACATATTCTTACTATTAACTCTTCACCCTCATCAGATGGTGCCTTTCAAGTTTGCAGTCACAAATAATTAATTAAAAAATATTTGTCTCAATAGACTACAAGTGCTTACAGTGATATTCTGCCGAAGAAATGTGCAAATTCTAAATCTGCTCCAATTTAGTGAGCATAATTTTTTCTAGCAAATTGAGTTATTGTGTAACTCTAACTGCACTTCTTTCACATAGCAATGAAATTATATATATATTGAAAACTAATTATTCCATTAACTCTGACTATAGAATTCTGTTTTCAAAAAAAACTAAAAAATTATCTTAATAGTTTTAAGAAGCATTTATTAAAACTACCTACTACTTGGAAAGTCTTGAATACCAAATGCTAAAAGTAGAAATCCATACTAAATGATACTCTAATAAAAACATGTTTTATCTTATTCAAACACAGTTTCATGAAGGTAAAAATGAGAGTTATGGTCTTCCTTCCTCTTTTCCAGAGTAACTACTTTCTCTTCTCTACTCTTACAGAAACTGAGAGGTAGGTATATATATATATAGAACTGAAAACACACACACAAAGGAGGAAGACGTACAGTGTCCTCTCTTAATAAAGGGAATTTAGGCCTCTCCCAGAAATATGCCAATCATAATTTCTAATCTGTAACTCCATAAATAACTAGTAGAAATTATTACAGTTTGCATTATTTACACACACATAAATGTGAATGAAGTGAATTTGAAAGTACTGCTATTTTATGGTAAAACAGGATTTGCATATGATTTAATTTAAATATTTTAATTTATCACTTTATTTTATTTAAAATGTTTTCATGAATGGCTGGAAATATAGTACAGCAGCTAGAGGGTTTGCCTTGCATGCGGTCAACCTGGGTTTAATCCCCAGCATCCCATATGGTTCCCTGAGCCCACCAGGAGTGACTCCTGAGTGTAGAACCAGGAGTTAATCCTGAGCAGTGCTGGTTGTGGCCCCCAAGCAAATAAACAATAAAAATGTGTCTGTGATACATAAATTATCACTAGTCATTTTTTATAGATTAAAATTTAGTGCCAGAGAAGTAATTTTTATGATTTATATATTAATTAAAACAACACCTTAAAAGCAAGTCTTATAATTCAAATTTTGCTTTCACTACTAAATACAATGTAGTTTGACTGAACTATATTTATAACACCTAACTACTCATTAACTACTTTTGTAGAATGTATATCATCACACTTTAAATAACATACTTTGTTATTATCTATGCAATAGGATAGTTCTCTCAAATATAAAAGTGAGTTGCCTGTTGTACTGTCAAGAAATGACAAATCTCAACTTAAAATTTTTGTCTATTATTAGATAAATATATCCACTTTGACTTCTAACACCTGATTTAATTGAAAATAGTAATATTTAGGGCATTTGCCTTGCATGCAGCCAGCCCAGCAGACCTGAGTTCAATTACTCAGCCCCACTCAGAGAGCCCGGCAAGCTACCAAGAGTATCTAGCCCGCATGACAAAGCCTGGCAAGCTACCTGTGATGTATTCGATATGCCAAACACAGTAACAACAAGTCTCATGATGAAGACATTACTGGGATTGCTCTAGCAATCAATGAACAATGGGAGGGCAGTGCAGTGCAGTGCAATATTTAAACAAAATTAAAATGGGGCAGGAGAAACAGCACAGGGGGTAGAGCAAATGTCTTGCATGCACCTAACCCTGATTCCATTCTCCATACCACATGTAATTGTCTGAGACCCCCCTACCAGTAATCCCTGAGTGCAGAGTCAGGAGCAATCCCTGAGCACTGCAGAGAGTGACCCCAATAAATAAATATGAACAAATTAAAAAGACTTTAAGAATGTTTTAATAAACATTTTTATACATTGGTATTGCAGACTGTATGTTTTCCAAAAAATACTGAAATAGCCATACTTAACTTTTCAATTTGTTTGTTAAGCAAAATACCCCGACATATAAACACAAGATTTTGAATCTCCTATTTAGCTGCTTCATGAAAAGACTCCGAATCTCTAGAGATTCACTCTAATATGATAGAACATTAATCAATTTTCCAAATAATTAGTCTGTGTCCTTCCTCAGACAATAACTTTAGGAGGAACTATACACAAGACTGAGCAATCAGGTAGCACATATGTAAATAAAGTAATGCATTTTCGAATTGAAAATGCTATCCTAAATGTATAGATAAAACATAGACTTTATTGACCCATTAGGTAAAACTTCCTTGCCGTCCCTGGTTTGTAACTGGATAACTTTGCAAGTACTATAATCTATATAGAGTTCATATTTACATCTAGCTTTCTTATATATCTGAAAGCAAATTTTAGCTTTAATCCATATAGACTTCATGTTTACATCTAGCTTTCTTATATATATGAAAGCAAATTTTAGCTTAAGTTCTAGAGATATAGCCTTTATGTTATGACAATCTTCCTTCTTAACTTTATATGCCTTCTGATACTCATTCTAAATATTGTGATTCCAAATAGATTAGAAGTAAATAATTTGAGATAATGATGATGAGAATGAGAATGTGGATTTAATAATTGTCTGCTTGTTGGGGCTGGAGAAATAGAACATCAGGGATGTTGCCAGCATTGCATGAGTCCAACCTGGGTTTGGTCCTTGACATTTCGTATGTTCTTCCAGGAGTGATCCCTGAGTGCAGAGCCAGGAGTCATTCCTGAGCAGAACTGGGTATGGACCCAAAACAATAAAAAAAACTGTATGTTTACAAAGCTTAACGTTATATAGAGAATAATGCATAAAAATCACTTCTTCCAGTGCTTTATTAAAGTTTAAATATCAAATGATATCATACAAAACCCCTATTTTTATGTACTTTATTTCTAACTCATTGATTATCTGACTTGGTTAACTTTTTGTTTGTTTTTGCCCACACCTGTCAGTACTTAGGGATTATTCCTGATTCTGTGCTCAAGTATCACTCTTGGTGATGATGCTCAGGAGAACATATGTGATGCCAAGAAATAGCCTGGGGTTGACCACATGCAAAACAAGTGCCTTACTGGCTATCTCTTTCACCTGATTTGATTGATTTTTAGTTCAATTGAATAAATGTTATTTAGTCATTAGCCCTTAATGTATCACCAGAAACAAATATCTAGTCATAAAATAGGCAAAAATATGTGTAAAATATAAGATAACGGAAACAAAGATATGGATTCCTCTTTCATATCCTAACGTCAGACCTTAAAATATACATGTCAGGACTCCCAGAGCTATTTCTTCATCACTAAACTTTTAGCCCTCAGGACACAGCCTGGTTTTACTTACAGGATTTGTGGCCACTAAGGCCTGGTTGTTAGCCACTGCAGTGAGATGGATGATGGTTACAAGAGAATTACAAACAAATGAGAAGAACAGGTTTTTATGCAAAGTAATCCTCTGACAACTTAGGCTCCTAAAAAGAAAGGGAAATCAGTATACTGACATCATACTTTTGTACAAATTAATAATAATTCTTATACTAGTCATTCATAAGTCACTCACAGAAACAGGTGGTCTAACTTAAAAAGAAATAATTTCTCTCTACGATTCACTTGTAACAAAATATTAATTAAGGGACAACTGTGATTCCTAAAAATGAAACCAATTAGTTGTTTCTGTACAGGAAATCTAATGTAGAGCTGGAAAATTATCTGTACAAGATATTTACATAAATTTTTTGGCCAATTTCACAATATAAATAATATTTTAATTCATCTGAAAATGTGAAACATAAGGATGAAAAAGATAGTACAGGAATCAAACCTTACTCTTGCTTCAAAAACTCCCAAACATGCAACTTATTAACCTGAAAACTTTGTATTTGTCACATTTTCACATAGGTAGTACCTTTAAAAAAATTACCATGCCACCTGTTTTTCTGTTCACTTATTCTTAATGCAAGTTCAAAGCCAGGACCTTGCAGTACCTGGGATTACACAAAGCATCCTGGCAGTGCTGGGGACCTTCAGACCACACAAATACTCAAGAGCTCTGTGATGCCAGAAATTGAACCCAAGTAGAGGATAAACAAACAGGCCTAGTAAAGTGCTCTAACTGCAGTGCTAACTCTAGGACTCTAAGTTATTCTACTAATGAAGATTATAGATGGAGGAGATAAAAGTGAAGATTAACCATGAAAATATGGCAATGTATTCAGAATAAATTAAACTGGTTTAAAAATTTAACTGAACACATGCCGTAGCCATGTTTCCGGACCCCAGGCGAGGCTGTCTCATTTGGGGCAACCCAGAGGGGGAACAGCTGAACCCTTTCCCTATCCCAACATACCCAGCCCTGGCAGCCAAAAACTTCCAGAACTCAACCACAGCCATGTTCATGGCCGCTTTCCATACACTCGGACTGAGAGTCACTCATGAGTTAAGCTATTCCTGGACATCTCATACCTCATATCACTCATATTCCAAGAGTATCATACCACATTTGGTGGGCTTTAAAATAGGAGGCAAACAATATTAGAGGGAAATATATTTTTACAGATCTATTTATCTATCTATCTACACACACATACATATATATTTAAGTACACAAGGCTCAACTTTAAACAACATGTTAGTAAGTAATCTCTTATAGAAGGGCTTAATGACCCCTGGGTGAAACACAAAAATCTTCACACACTTTCCTCCAAGGAAAAAATTTTGGCTCCTTTTCAGAAGTTTATTCATAACAAAAAACAAAAAATAAATTATTTTGGTTCTGCTTTGGGACAAGGGTTGGGGTTCAGGATGGAAAATTCCAAAAGATGGTGGTGGGAAGGTGTAATGGTGTTGGGATTGGTGTTCAAATATTAAATGTAATTAAATATTGTGAACTACTTTATAAAATTAAAATTAGTTAAAAACTTAACCAATGTCTCCTTCTTATTTCAACTGAATTTTATAAATTGTCTCACTAATTCATAAGATATTGAAATAGTGTCTTTGACTGGAAGTCCACTTGTATCAGATAAAATGGATGCATGGAGTTAATATACATGCATATCTCAGGAAAGTCATCATTTATGATAAGCAATGTTATTCTTCAGATTGATTCCACTTCCATTCTACAAAGTTGTCCTATCACTGTCACTGTCCTCCCGTTGTTCATCGATTTGCTGTGAGCAGGCCCAGTAACATCTCCATTGTGAGACTTGTTGTTTCTGTGTTTGGCATATCGAATACATCACAGGGATCTTGCCAGGCTTTGCTGTTCAGGAGAGATACTCTCGGTAGCTTGCTGGGCTCTCCAAGAGGGGCAGAGGAATTGAACTCAGGTTGACCATTGTTGGCTGTGTGCAAGGCAAACACCCTACCCACTGTGCTATCGCTCCAGTCACAAAGTGGCTAATACAGTTTACTAAGTCCTCATGGAGCAAATAGAGCTTCACTTGCCCTTTGAGTATGAAGTCAGATATTTTCATATGGACAAAGCAATATCTGACTATTGCTTTGTCCATATGAAAATATCTGACTTCATACTCAAAGGGCAAGTGAAGCTCTATTTGCTCCATGAGGACTTAGTAAACTGTATTATACCTATATCTGGAACCAAATTAAAGTCAAATCAGTTTTTATGGAATTTCAATCCATGCCTTCTATAGAATAGATAATATTAGGAGAGATTTTAATGAAAGTCCTCTTGAAAAAATAGTTTGTAGACTAATCATAGTGTTTAATGCCAATAAATTTATACTTCCAACTAGAGTCCAACAAAATAAAAATAACTGAAATTGCCAGTATTTTCATATAAATTAGTCTTTATTTGACTTAATTTTGCAGTGCAAAGGTAGTGAGAGGCAGCCTGAATAAATGCACAGAATAAATATATTTCATGAAAAGGAGGATCTTTGAAATATTTGAACAAATGCATGGTATTGTTCTCAATATTATTGAAATAAGGTTATGTTTGAGACAAAGGAATCTCTACAAATTTTAATAAAATACCATTCATATAACATAAATCTTTCATGTTTCCTGAGAACACAGAGAATTAATGAACATGAGACTAGGAAAAATATGGTTTTAAAAGACATATTATGTATAATTTATAATTATAATTTATCATTATTGTATGTAAACACCATGGATATATGTAGTCTATATAGTCTTACTGTAAAATGCTTGCTCTGATCTGTGTCAATCAAGAGTTACCCACCTTTTTGAAAAGAAGCATGTAACAGGCAATTATGCAACTTTTTAATAATGCAATTTATATAATTCAGTTACCATAATGTGAAAAAAATGTCCTTAATTGAACTCACTTGCCCTTTTCTGCTAAACACACTTATATCCATGTTCATTCCTTAAGACATCCTTAAACAATAAATTATCATGGTTTTAAAATTATGACAAAAAAGAATAACAAGAGTTTGATTAGATAGCAAATCAGAAATATTTGTAAATAGTAAATTTTATTGAAAGAAAACAAACAGTAGAGATAAATTTCAAAAACAGCAATGCCAAAGGGATACTGGGATCATAAAAAAAAAACAGCGATACCAAATGAAAAGCTGAATAATATCAGCTGAGGGACATAATATAAACGTTTATATGATGAATCTTCACATGTGAAAACTCTAGAAATAAGTTAAAATACTAAACTGTAGTAAGTTGAAACATTTCTGAGTTTTCCTTATATGCTTAACCTTTTATCTTTCAGTACTGACCTATCTGTCTATTAAGAATTCCTTTTTTTTGAGAGCTAGAGTGATATACAGCAAGTAGTGTGCTTGCCTTACATGCAGTCGACCTTGTTATTATTCCCAGTATCACATATGGTCTCCCAAGCACCACCAGGGATAATTCCTGAGTGCACAGCTGTGAGTAATCCCTGCACATTGCTGGGTGTGGCCCAGAAACAAACAAGGGAAAAAAGAATTCCCTTTATTTTATCATTCTAGTTAATCCCAACCTGAATTAACACTCTTTGTAAAATATGATTTTTAAAAAGTCTAACAAAAACCTTTATATATGTTAAAACAAAAAAGTTAACTTCTTAAAAATTAGCTGCTGGTTTCAATTCTGAAAGCATACAATTCTATTTAAAATGAACACTTTATAGGACACATTAAATAATATCAATACAAACATCAAGTTTCCTTCCAATGTTTTACAAAATTACCCAAATAATATGATAGATAGGGAAATCTACCTTTATACAAATGTTTAGGAAACCCTGACATTCAGCTTATCCAAATTGTTATAATAAATTGAACAATTGTGAAATCATTTCACTTAGTAATGTATAAATATTCCCTGCTATATTAATTTATGTTATTGCTTTAGCATCTTTTTCTGTCATGGCTTACTGTGTAACATAAATGCAGACAATCCTATCTGACATATGCTTTCTATCAATGTCTTCTGGTAAAATGACTTATATTTTTCTAGTTACACATATTTCTTTCTAAACATATTAATTAACACATGTTAGTACATTAGTACACATAAAATTAGCTTATAAATGAAAAACAAGCATGTATGTGGTAAACATGCTGATTTGTTTAAATAAAAGCCTAACCATACTGGATATTTTTTCCAGTGTTAACCTGCATCCAATTTTACCTACTGTAAATTCTTATGTGCTTATTCTATTCAAAACATTAAAGCAATTATTTTATAGGCAGAAAGGAAGTGTTTGTAAAGAATGTTCTGTTTCCTTATGTTATAATATCTCTGTCTATGCTAGCATAACCACAGAAGATAGAAACTGTATATCTGGGGACTGAATTGTTTCCATTTTATATACTCTATAATTATTTTAGAACATGATGTTAACATGTATTTCTGTTAAGTAGAGTTAAAAAGTCAATTCGCGAAGGTGTGCCAACAAAACCATTGGGTTTCATTGTTTACCATGCATGGTCAATATAAGCATTGTTATCCAAGCCTCGATCCTCCTATCGAACAATGAAAAGTGCATAGCATCAAGTCAGTACTTGATGACTTTTGGCAGCTTACTCAAAAACTAATTTTCAGTTTTTTTCTCTGTTATAAAGGAATAGTACTTCATAGAATTGTCTTGAAGGTTAAATGAGATAAACCATGTCGGTGATTGCATAATATTCAATCATGCCAAGCATCCAATTTTAAGTTAGATATTTCAGCCCAATTATCATATGACTTATTTATTTGTTTGTTTGGTTTTTGGGCCAAATCTGGAAGCACTCAAGGTTTACTCCTGTCTCTGCTCTCAGGGATCACTTCAGGAGAGTGAGGGGCCACGTGGAGTGCTATTGGGTTATAGTTACAAGCATTTAAGTCTTAACATTGGGTTGTCCTTTCCCCTACTGTAGACAGCTTATTTGAATTGAATGCCAGACACAGTAACAACGAAGTCTCCAATGGAGAGGTTACTAGGCCCGCTCGCGCAAATCGACGAACAACAGGAGGGCCTTTATACTCACTACAGTGCTCC